CATTTTGACAAATTAGTAAAGAATAAATATTAATTTTTGACACCGCATTCGAGAGGAGTCTGACTGACTTTCACCATTCTCTTCGTCATCAAATTCATCATTATCAGAATCAAGGGAACCATCCTGCTCTTCATTCTCATCACTATATGTATTGATTGAGTCCATATAACAAGTCATGTGATATGCATGACAGCTGAAGAAAATGACAACCGAGACATTTTGGATGGAAAAAGGATCAAAGCATATGCAACATCTGCCTCCCACCTTAGTCTTCAAATCCATGTTTTTGAAACTTGGTGGTTTTGCAAAGGACTCTTCCATCCTCTTTTCATCTCTCTTAGTTCTAGCCTCATCCTCTGTGTTATTCATATAAACCGCATGCCTTGTTTCTTTGTAGTACTTAACCATAAGATTGACGATATCAGCCTGTTGTTCCCACCAAAACAACCAATAATTTCAGTGCAAAGTGAAGATGATTCAAACATCAAGGCTACTAAATTGAAGAATTACCTTTAAAATATCATTACAATCATGTCTGAGTGAGATTTCGGTTCTATATTCAGTTATGAATTTGACCAATCGATCCCTGAGCCTATAAACATATTATGAAGGATTAGTAACAACAATAGAGATTAGCAAAAACCAAAGTACTTTTAAGAAAAATAATAATATTGACTGCTATAATGCGTCTTAAAGATTTTGGAGATATTATAATAAGATCTGAAATTCATTATCACGAAGGAAAGACGAATGTGGTTACAGATGCCTAAAGTACAAAGTCTGTGATGATACTGCAAGATTAGTTAAGGGCAGATTTTCAAAGATGGCCTTGGAAGTTATGGAGCATGGAAGAGTGGAGAAAATGTTGAATGTTTTTCCTATCCAACACTCGAGTTATTTAGAAATCACAGAAAGGTGGCTTGAGGATGAGAAGCGGGAGAAAATTCAAGAAGGCAAGTTTTGAATTTTAAGATATTTGATGATGGGAAATGGGAAGTTGCATATGATGCTGAAGTGGAAGAGACTAAAAATGAATGGATGACATTCTAACATTCAGAGAGGAAAAGACATATAGTGCTTACTTAAGACATACAATGATTGACACGAAATGCAGTCTGAAAACCATCAGCATGAGGAAGATCAGAAAGGGCCTTTATATCGAATGAACATCTACATTTACAAGTAATACAAGGACATAACAGTACTAACCTAGGTATTTCCAGTCCATCAGGCACACCATTTACAATATGAAGAGAATCAAGGTTGCCAACAGTATGTTCCAGCAACAATCCAACCTGCAAACAGGAAAAGGCAAGCATGTGAAAAACAGAGATGATGATAGTTTCCCGCATAAATGGTTTAGCATGCATGTGTACTATTCTCTAGAATAGATCCATTACTGCTAAGTGATGGACTTCCATTACTGTTGATAGATGTTGGACTGCCAGACCCGTGACCAGTTTGGATTTTGGATGGAGCAGACTGGATTCTTTGAGGGAACAAGGAGTACTTGGAACTGGGCGCATGCTCCCTGAACCATTTCTAATAGCCTACATAAGCAGTACAAAGCAAAGCAAAGAGTTATTCAAAACCAATTGTACACATATATTCCATTTTCCGAGTGAGAATTCCAGCTAGTACACAAAGCATGTCAAAGAATGAAAGACAAAAAGCACACATACAAGGGGACTAATTCTTTCCAACAATAAAGATGAAATCAATTGTCATTTGTTGAAGACAGTACACCATATTAAAGAGAACGAAGTGAGAGCATAATATACGATTGAGACATAAATTCAAGCGAGATATAAACATATCAGAGGTAATATGAAGACTGTAAGGCACAAGTTACTGATTACAAGTACGGAAATCGGTCACACAATGATTAAGCTAGGAGTACAACGTCCTTTACAGATGGGGAAAAAAATTCAATCCAAGCCATATTTACCAAAACAAGAAAAGATTTCATCAAAACTCAAAAGTGTAAAGGTATCTACCCAGAGGAGCCCCCATTTCTACTGTTCTTCCAAATATTTCTAGATTCTCCAATGTGGCAGTATCTAACACCATATAAGGTTTCTTAAAAACATTACAGTAATCAGAGCATGGAAGTGACTCTATATAACACATAATATTCAGTAAAATATCATCAAAAATCGATCGCAAACACAAAATTCGGAAAATAAATAAAACTCAAAACTATTGAACACACACAAAGAATGTATTGAAATGTCATCCAATTGGAACAATCAAAACCGTAATTCAGCATGAAAAAGTATACAAATGATAAAAAAAAAAAAAAAAAAAAAAAAAAAAAAAAAAAAAAAAATTAAGCTGAAAAAACATACAAAATATTGAAAAAAAAGAGCAAAATTGAACAACATTATGAAAAAAAATTTGAATAATACAGGAATTAAGTGATTAAATTGCAAAACTTACAACAATTTGATGATGAATAATTGAATATCGCCGATTTGATCTTCATCAAAGTGAAGCCCCTAAGTCAAAATTTCAGAGAGAGAATGTGTGGGATTTGAACAATAAAAGAAATTTGAACAATAAGAGGGGGAGAATCGTAGGTTTTGCTGGAAATCCAGAGGGAGATGAGAGAGAATAGCTGCAAGTGAGGGAAATTCATGGGTTTCTTCAGCAATGGTGATGAAGGAGGAGAGAGAAAATAACTTGCAAAATGAAGGAGGAGAGAGAAAACGCTATATATATACATACATACACATATATATATATATATATATATATATATATATATATATATATATATAGTCGAGATACGGTGAGAACCACCCTTTATGTGAGAACCATCATCTATGTGAGAACCAATACCAGTCATTAGATTATATGAAATTTAACAGCAGAGATTAAAATACAAAGCTGCCTAACAACCACTGCACACTTAACAGAAATTTGGTTCAAAGATCTGCTTCAACTTTCTCATTTATTCTCTCTGCACAACGAAGCTCCATAATTATCAATGGTGATTGATTAATCAATTTGAAGGCTTGACAATTTCGATTTCATCTTCTTCTTCACAAGTACGAATAACTTCAATTAAAGAATTTGAAGGCTCGATAATTATCAAGGTTTGTTCATCCTTTCAATTTCAATTTTACTACTCTGAAAATTTCGAATTGCATTAATTATTAAGGTTTCATCAATTATTGAAAATTTTAGAATTTCATGAATACAACGAAAAACTTGATAGTGATTCTAATGATCTCATATTACACTTATCATCCAAAATTAAGATATAATATTCGATTTTAGTAATTGAGAATTTTTGATTGTTCAGATAAGTTTCGATTCTATTGCATTGATAATTTAGGATTTTACTGTTATGATAATCTTTGAATTGCATGTTATTTTTGAATTTTTGTTAAGATTTTCATATTCATGTCGTGAAATTTCCAAATTAATACTCTTATAATGTTCTTATTTCCGATTGCTGTTATTATGTTCTTATGTTATTATGTTCTTATTTGCAATCAAAGTTAAAATGAGCAAATAAATTGAAAATGAGCAAACCTAAATATGTGTAATAATATAGAAAAAAATAATGAGCAAACATAATTAAAATGAGCAATTTGAACATCCATTGATCTCAATATATAAGATTTTCATCAAAATTATTGTACGTATTGCTTGTTATAAATTTGCTAATCTGAATTGAAAGTATGTAAAATGAGCAAATATATTCAAAATGAGGAAATAGATTAGGAGCAAAACAAACTAAAATGAGAAAGTATAATTAAAATGAGCAAAAAGAATTAAAATAACCAAACAGAATTAAAATGAGCAAATATTATTAAACTAAGCAAAAAGATTATGAGCAACCATAATTAAAATGAGCAAATATATTCAAAATGAGCAAACATATTATGAGTTCCTTGATCTACTTGTCTGCAAACAAACCCCACCCCCTTCTTCCACTTGCCTGCACAAACCTATCCCCCCTGCCCCCTCCTTCTTCTGCTTGCAGTTCTGATCTCAGAAACTGATTACAGTTCTTATTTAAAAATCTAATTTCAGTTCTAATTGTGAGTGTGTGTGTGTGTGTGTAAGTGTGTTTAAGGGGGTGCATAATTGTAGCAGATTAATTACAACTATGTTTTCTATATTACTGTGTTATTCACTTGTTACTATTTTGTTAAATTGTTCTTCACGTGTTTGTGACTTGTTATTTCTATTATATTTAATCATAGAAACACTAGGCGAAAATTGCTAATTAATCAGCACTGGTTCAAAACCCCCATTTCACACTGGTGTTGAACCGGTTCTGATTTGAGGGATGCCAAATCCCAAGACTTTTCTTGATGTGAACCGGTGCGAAAAGTCCCCAAAAATATTAAAAAAAAACCTTTTAGCACTGGTTCTTGCTTTGAACCGGTGTGAAAAGTGGCCAAAAAAAATTAAAAAAAAACTTTTAGCACCGGTTCCTGTTCCAAAATCGGTGCCAAAAATGCCCCAAAAAATTTTTTTTTTTTTTTTGGTTTTTTTTTTTTGCATTTTTTTCACTTAAATTGATATATAAGCACTAACATATGCATAAAGCTACATATTTTCATTAAAAAAGGCTGTAATATTACAATTTTCGTCCAAAAAAAATTAAATAATCCATACTTATCTCTGAGTACCTTCTTGCATTTCATTTAACTAGCTGTCCTGGTCTTGTGCTGGTGGCTGCTCTGCTTGCTGCTGTGTTGTTGTGTGTTCAGGTTGACTAGATGCTCTGCTGTTTGTTGTGCTGTTATTTCTGTTCTGCTGCGCTGCTGTGCCTCTGCCCTGTTTAGGCTGGTTGGGCATATGTTCTGCTTCTGTGGCTGTGTTTCTGCTCTTCAGGCTGGCTGGGTGTTTGGTTTGGCTTCTGTTCAGACTGTCTTGTGCTGGTGGCTTCTCTGCTGGCTACTGTGTTGTTGTGTGTTCAGGCTAACCTGCTGCTCTGCTATTTCTGTTCTGCTACGCTGCTGTCCCTTTGTCTTGTTCAAGCTGGCTGGGTGACTGGTTTGAGTTCTTGAGTTGCTGTGTTTCTGTTTTGCTTTGGTCAGGCTTTGCTGGGTGTTTGCTGGTCTGCTGTAGTGCTGTGTTGCTTGCTGGTTTGGCTGCTCTGGGTCAGGCTGCTGTGTTTGCTAGGTTCTGCTGCTACTGCTGCGTGGTCCTCTATGTTGCGGTATCGGTGAGCTGCTGTGGTGCTGTGCTTGTGAACATGTAGGACAATCTCAAGTAGGATTTAAATATTAGATTTTCAAAGAGATTACTATCATACACAGTCAAGGTAGGTCAATATATTTATTGTGGATATTAGATTTTTAGAGACAATACTATCACAAATAGTCAAGCTAGGGTCTATATATTGATTGTGTTCCAATTTTACAATCGGTTGCATGCCCATATCACCATTGTAAAGGAATTTGAGAAACCTCACAGCATGGTAAGTGTTTGTGAGATAACCAACTGACATATCAAGCTGCAATAGCAGTCAATCATCCGCATTGACTGCAAAAGTGGTTCCGTGATTGTGCCCCCATCCAAGATTATAGAGCATGGAGAGGGGTAATGATCAACTTCTTAGCTCCATAGAAGTGAAAGAAAGTAAAAATCTTTATAGACATTTACAATCATCAATATGAAAGCAAATAAAGAGGGTGATTGCCTTTCTAACCTAACGGAGTAACTACGGTCAGGATTTTCGAGGTGAAACAAATGGGAATATAAACTGACCTTTAATTCTGCCACTTCTTGCTCTCGTTTGGCAAATGTCACAATAAAGGCAGCTTCTTTCTTCTTTGCTTTTTCTAGCTGGTAAGAAGGAATAACAAATTATTCACCATCCAAAACTAATAATATACAGTAATAAAGATAGGAAAGGAAAAAGCACAAACCTGCTCTTTCAGTGACTTGTTTTATGACCTTAAGGTTCGGATATAGTTAACCACCAATTTAGGTTCTGCAGGAACAATAATGAAGATTTTCATATCAACCAGAATAAAATCTCCAAGACAGTTAAATGGAAAGAAATACAAAACATTAGAAATACAAAATAAAAGCTAAAAATTATAAGACTGGCCTGGAGTAGTAGCTGGGGATATAAAAGACTCATCCTGAAATGAAGAATGCTATTTCTGAATTTCAGACTTTGCAGATTCCAGCTCGATCTAAGACAAAGAAACCAAAACTAATTACTCCTTAACCAACTGTCGATAGTCAACCAGCAAAACTTAAGGCAGACAATAATCGAATTTAGTTACTGATTCAAAGTTCTAGAACATCTAAGACAATAAAGGCACTACTATACAACCTAAAGGATCACCCAGCGAAGCATCACACCAAATAGCAGTTGCGGATTGAAGAAACGTTGGTAGTGAAGCACCTGTTTTATCACTAGTTTAATTTAATTACACAATCACTATAGTTTAGAGCATAATGATCATACAAGGTTATATGACCAGCCAAGAGAAGTAAAATCACATTGAGCAATGTTATAAGATTAAAAGAGCAAATCAAACAAACATGCCAACATAACTCTCCCCACCTTAACTGCGAACTTTGAGGCAAAAATCACCTCACACAGGAACAAGATAATAAGCATTGAATGAAGATATGTCTGCCTACAGCCAAACAACACCAACAACAAGCTGACAACCATATTGCACAAATTTATGATCCCTTAAAGTAGGGTCCACAGTATTGCTAAGTAAAACAAGACATTTTTCAGACATCAAAGATTGTAAATGAAAGTTAAGGATTGAGGATTAGGGTATAGCAAACCCAATATACCTCATTGCGCTCAATATATACTGTGCCATCCAGGTCATAAAGCTTAAATGTGACTGCAATAGAAAAAGGATGAGTGTGAATAGATATACATGACCCAGGTTTCAGATATACAATATGTCGGATGATGTTAGAGAGACTTTGTATAAAACAAGGTTACATACAGTCTATCTTATCCTCTTGGGAGGCATTAGGATGGAAGACGTTCAACACTCTGACGAAGTCACCGAAGTCAACTACTCCTTTCCTTTTAACATCGAACAAATCAAAGATCTGTGTACAGAAGGTTCACAGTTATTAAGGGTATAACATAATATTTACAAGACACAAACTATCAAATTAAAAACAGATAAAGAAGAATATAGCTGAAGGTGTAGTGTCTTCAATGTACAACATCAGTAGCAACATACCTGATTAGCAAAAAGATTCTCTTTATACTTGTTTTTGAACAAAGCTAACTGAAATTCCTCCTTCAAACATACATTTATTATACTATGGTAAGGAAAAGCCATACATAGTCCAGAAATATTTCATATGCACAGGATATACAGAAATTAAGTATGCAATCGAGAAGCTACATTACAAGAATCAAAGCCCAACTCCAATTATGCAAGATCAGACAAGTCAAACATTGGGACACATTCATTTCCAATAATCTGGGATCGTTCAGTTTCTGGTTGAAATTAAGGATCCAATATCTTTCAGTTACATATGTTGCATATTCGATTTCGGGTAGAACAGTCTTGTTCAAGACCCTAAATTCAGACATGTTTGTTAGAATTTGGCGTTGAATCAAGATTTGTAAATTCAGACAAACCCTATATTACCACAACCTTAAAATTACTAAATTGAAAAGCAAATCAACGACAAACCCTAGATTGCGAAGGAATTCGATAGATTAAGAAGACCACAAGAAAAATCTTACCTCGAAGCTGCTTCAATGGAGGTGAGAAAGCTCAAAATCCGCTTCAATGGAGAATAAAGAGCACGAGTTCAATGAAGGAGAGATATGGAGAAAGAAGGAGGTGCAGCTGCTTCAATGGAGTGAGAAAGCTCATAAACCGCTTCAATGGAGAAGTTGAAAATTCGGAGGTGGTGGAAGAGAAGGCGAAAACGAGCTGAGGGAAAACAGAAGATGGAAAAGCAGGGGGAAAGAAAGAAAGAAGAAGATATAACAGCCCGGTTTTTTTTTTTTTAATTTCGCACCGGTTTGGACTGAACCGGTGCGAAATCCCTTTCTCCCTTTTTTTGATATTTTTTTTTCTCTTTTGTAATTCGCACCGGTTTGAACCAGTGCGAAAAAGATGATTTCACACCAGTTTGATAGAAATCGGTGCGAAAAGTCTTTTCCCCAATCCCGCTCATTTCTTTTACCACCGGTTTTCAAGAACTGGTGCGAAAAGTGCTGTGCCTAATTCATTTTTTCTACTAGTGAAGTGATGAGCAACAACGAACAACTTGAGAGTGATTCTAGTGCCATCACAAATGTGCCAATTACTCCTACAATAGTGTGCCAAATGAAATATTTGTCAAACCTCCAAAAATTTCAAAGAATAAAGGAAGTGGAGTTCATGTATCAAATGAAAAGACTTAAAAAAAGAAAGGGACGGACTGAGATTGATGTGTCAAATGTTGCAACAAGAGGTAAAAGTGCAAAAAGGCTAAAGGGAGAAAAAGAAATGCTATAGAACAAAACAAGAAAAAGAAGAGAATATGTAGAGGTTGTGGTGAATTGAGTCATCATGATATTAGAAATTGTTAAAAATAAATGTAATGATACTTTTATATACATATAAGATTTTATATTTTTAGCACATCCCCTCATTATTTATTGAACATATAGAAATTTTGTTGAATTTTTATATTTAATAATATATTTTTAATTTTATATTGCTCATAATTTAATGAGCAAATTAGCTATTGAATGAACTTGCAGTAATTGATTCTATCATTGAATCAAATGAATCTTTGGTTGCAAATCAATGATATATAAGCAAAAATTTAATTACTCATTTGTTAAATGAGCAAATAGTTAGTTGCTCATTTGTCAAATGAGCAAGCATTTTTTATTTCTTTTCTCAATTAATAAATGAGCAACAAAGCAAATAATTATTTGATCATTTGTCAAATAAGCAAGCAATTTTTTGCTCATTTAGCAAATGAGCAAATACTTAGTTCCTCATTTGTTAAATGAGCAACAACTTAGTTGCTCATTTGTTAAATGAGCAAATAATTAGTTACTCATTTGTAAAATAAGCAAACATTTCTTTGATCATTTGGCAAATGAGCAATCAATTTTTTGCTCATTTAGAAAATGAGCAAATACTTAGTTGCTAATTTAACAAACGAGCAACAACTTAGTTGCTCATTTGTCAAATGGGTAAATAGTTAGTTGCTCATTTGTCAAATGAGCAAACATTTCTTTAATCATTCATTAAATCAGCAAGCATTTCTTTGCTCATTTGTGAAATGACCAATCAATTCTTTGCTTACTTGACAATGAGAAATATTTTCTCACTCATTTGTCAAATGAGTAAATGCTTCGTTGCTCATTTGTAAAATGAGAAAATATTTCAAATAAACATTCGTTATAAATGACAAAGTAATTTAAGTAAAAATAAAAAAAGATCAAATTTCGATTCAAATATCACCACAAAAGTCACCATAATCAAAAGGGTAGCCTCTTGTTAAATTAATTATTTACATCATTTTTACATCATTCAAAGACTAACAAAGATCCAATTTCGATTCAAACAAAGTATCTGATTTCGAATCCATAGCAACATTAACGACAGATGAAGGCAGCATCCTATTACACAACTTCCCATAGACAACAAACTTCGATCCTTACACTGCATCAATAGCATCCCCTAAATTTAATCCTCCAACTTCACCATTAGGATCCTCAAAGTTCACATTCTGTTTTTCTTTCACTCCTTTTTCAACCATTTATCCTTTACCCTTAGTAGCGACTGATTTTAATCTCTTCTGCTTGTTTTCTGACTTTATAGATGCACTAAGCTTCTCAGACTCTACAGCCACTGCAGCCCCTAATGAAGCAACATCGACAACACACTCCTTTTCAATAAAGTTCATGCTCATACAAAATCATAAAAAAAAAAAGTAAAATATCACATAGATTTTTTTTGGAGGTGTAGTGAAGAGGATACTTTAATTAGGGGAGGGTCTGGAGTATGTTATGATAGAGAAGTATAGGTTGATAAATTATCTAATGAACAAATGTAAAATAAGCAATCAATATTTTGCTCATTTAGCAAATGAGAAAATAGTTAGTTGCTCATTTGTCAAACGAGCAAACATTTCTTTAATCATTCATTAAATCAGCAAACATTTCTTTGCTCATTTGTGAAATGGTCATTTGTCAAATGAGCAAATAATTAGTTACTCATTTGTAAAATAAGCAAACATTTCTTTGATCATTTGGGAAATGAGAAATTAATTTTTTGCTCATTTAGCAAATGAGCAAATAGTTAGTTGCTTATTTATCAAATGAGCAAATACTTAGTGCTAATTTAACAAATGACTACAACTCCAAACAGAACATACATTTCATCACATACATTATACAAAATCAAAAACCTCATATTTCATAAATGAGCAAGTTTTATCCAAACAATAACTATTATACTGACCAAGAAAACATAAAATGAGAAAAATAAGAAAACACGTACATTTTCCTTTCCAAAGGCAGTACAACCATAGAATCTTTAGCATTCGTAGAATCCATAGCAACCGAAGAATCTATAGCACTGAACAGTTGTACAATTATAAGAAAAAAACCGAAAAAAAAATGTAAGCTAACTAAAACAAAGGAAAAATCAAATTAAGAAGCAAATTTGTAAGAAAACCTTAAACCAAGATCTTCTAAATGAGGAGACGTGTTTCGATCCTACATGGTTGCATAACCAACCCAATCATCACAAGGTACATATGAATGATATGCTTATTTCTCCTTTTAAGATGGATTTGAGTCATTATCAATTTCAATGATGCCAGTCAGCTTTTAACCAAACAACATCCCTTAGCCTAACAAAAGCATTAGGACACAAGCACAAAAAAGTCTAAAATAGAAAGAATTGATTTAAAATTCAACAAATTAATAATCACAGTTGCATTCCAATTTACAATCACTATCTGCAACTGTAATCATCCTTCACAGCTTCTAACTAATTCTAATTATTGCCGGTCAAGCTAAAATCTGTCACACAACCTCAGCCACAAGATTGACAGCACACTAGGTGTAATGCAACCACAGAATTTTTCAATAAATTCAACACTTCAAGAATATTAGGATCAAGTCATAAACGAACCACCGAGGATTAACATAACAAGCAAAACACTTATTTATGAGGTGCCTCTAGTAATGCAACTAGTGACAAAACCCTGAAAAGAATATTATGAATATGCTGTGAATCTTTTGTATTCTTATCAATGCAGTCCTTTAGCACACATCAGTGTGAAAAAAGTATTTATATATCAACGCAAAGGAGGATGGCATGCATGGGAAAATATATCTCATAATATGAAGAGAAATAAAGAGGGGGAAGGGGGGAAGGGGGAAAGGGGGGGGGGGGGTTCACCACATTTCTAACAAGAAGTAGAGGATCCTAAATGTGAGAAAATAGTGTCCTACCAACCAAGAAAAAGTAAGTCAAAAGGAACAAATTTGGGTAGTTTCTATACTACAATGGTTTTATGAATCAGAAAACTACCGATTTTAAGAACCTTGTGAGTTGTGACAATGTTAACATATAAGCAAAGGAAGATAATCTTAACATAGTAACCTAGTTTGGGGGATTGGAAATTTACAAAGTGAGAAAATGTAACTTTCAGCCCTAAAATCTACCAAGAATCACATATTTCCTAAATGATTGTTCATTTTGGACAAGGCATGAATATCTAAGGAAAGATTCATTGACCGGAGAAAAGGTGTTCGATTTAATTACTTGTTTCCGTCACTTGAACAAGCAAATGACCGGTCTTTAACACAATCTAATAATGACTCATCACTAATTATGCAAACAATAACTAAGTACACAGATGAGTGGGGTGGGAAAAAGTTAATAATGACTCATCACTAATTCTCAGAATCATACTCCTCCATTCTCTACTCAGGTACAACCTCCTCCAACATACTCTCAAGATCAAGCTCCTCCAAGCTACTCTCAAAATAAGGCTCTTCCAAACTACTCTCAAAATCAGGCTCTTTTAGAAAAGTTAATGAAGAAATTGAAAAAAACGAACACAAACTGATAAAATTAAGTTGAAACAATCGAGCACAAATTGATACAATTGAGCAGAAAAATTAAACACAATTGAATAAATTAAGCTGAAAAATCAAACAAAAATGAAGGAAAAAACAGAAATTAAAAATAATTACTCAAATAAAACTAAAATCAAACTAACATAAACTTAATAATTATTCAAATAAACCTAAAATCAAACTAAAATCAACGTAATAGCACAAATAAGCAGTGATATCTAGGTTTCTAAAAAAACGAAAAAAATTTAAGATAACAAAAGTAAAGCAAAAATAAAACTAAAATCAACTTAATAACTACTGAAAAAACGAAAATCAAACTAAAATCAACGAAAAACACAAAGTAAAACATAATTGACACTCACCTTGACGAAGAATTGATGAAGTTTGAAGAAGAATTGATGAAGAATCAGAGCAAATAGCAGAGAGAAAGAGAGCAGAGAGAACTGAGAACTGAGAAATTGAAGTAGGAGAGAGAAAATAACTTGCAAAATGAAGGAGGAGAGTGAAAACGCTGAATTTTTTTTTTTATTTTTTTTTGAAATTATGTTTGACTGGGGTAAATGGTAGCTATTGGATGCAATTGATCCAACACTAGGCGAAAAACCCCAATCCCCACCGGTTCAAACCACACATTCCCCACCGGTTTTGAACCGTTCTTGATTTGGGGGGTGCTAAATCCCCAAAGATTTCCCACCGGTTCAAAACCGGTGGCAAAAACCACTTTTCCCACCGGTTTTGGAGTGAACCGGTGGCAAAAACATGTGATTTATCTTATAGCTGGAGGACTTTTCCCACCGGTTTTCAAGTGAACCGGTGGCAAAACTATAACATTTCCCAGCGGTTTTCACACTGACCCGGTGGCAAAAGTGCCCCAAAAAATTAAATATTTTTTTTTTTTTGCATTTTTTTCACTTAAATTGTACCAAATACTTATATATAATCATAATATACATAAAACACATATATTTGCCTCAATAACTTGTAATATTACACTTTAAAAAACAAAAAAAAAAATGGACATATAAACACTAACATATATATTTTTGGACATATAAACACTAACATATGTTGTCTGACAGTATACAAAAACTAATAGAACTCAGGACTTCAAGGGCGGCAAGAATGCAAAACTGATGCAGAGCAGAGCACAGTGACATTGGTGGCAATGGTGTTTGTCTTTGTAGTATCAAATGTCATTTCCCCACCCAAGCTGGTGTCCTCATTGCCGATGGCAGCATTGATGTCCATTGTAGGGGAAGGATTCAAGCTAACTCTAGAGTTAACTACAGCATGATAATTCCGTTAGTGCACATCTAATTGTATCAATACAAATAAACATCAGGCATAAATCAAAAGAATCTAAAAATTCTCTATTTTTATAAGTTGAGCCATTAGCTACCAAATCTTGTAAATATCTGAAACTCATTTCTAACTCTTGTAGATACGGGCTGGTTTGTGACTTGTGAGTGCTCAATGTTAACTATTACAAGCCTCTAGACTCAACAATCCTGAATAATACCATACATTGATGCTAGTAGTATATAACGATTCAGGGAAGATACAGATATTAGAGCTGAAATGTGACCCTTAATAGGAACACCCATCAACACTAGAGCTGAGCATACATGCCAGACAGAATAGTGGTCACAGGATCCTACTACTTGTAATGCTAACAATTTAAAGCAAGAAAAGAGATCCTGGGGTGTGTTAGAAAAAGGTGAATCTGCACACCATCCTGAAAGAATCATCCTGAAAGAATCTAGTACCTGTCCTTTAAAAGTGTTGGCTCTTGGGATTATTTTACTGGTTTTGATGCTGAGTTGAAGATAGCAGTAATATTGAACTGGAAGAAAAGCTCGCAATCAAAGCTGTATATTACATGATATACTGAGTCAATATAGCAGTTATGTCTTCATAATAATACCGCAAATTTCATGGTAAATGCTATAACTTTTGATGTTATTGTGAATGAAATTTTGTTGAAAGTTTCTTGTAGATGCTCAAATGAGCTTAGAGAAGTGATAGTGATGTAAGGTGGTTGCTTAGCAGGTTTTGTCTGCCTGCAAGCTTTTGGTTCTGTTGTTCTGGAGGTCTGTATTAAGCATTTTCAGTTCTGCATTATTAATAAACTCTCTAACTAATTGCTTAAGAAATGAAAAGAAAAAAACTCATGCATCTTAAATGATCCTTTTTAAAAGCGCAGTATTCAGATCTATGCGATCACTCTGATATATTAGTAGTCCTACAGAACACTTACACTTAATTCCTAGTTCTTGTTCTTGAGGATGAGCTTATAACACTTGATTCAACTTTTGTGCACAATACAACTTAACTTCTATTCAGAGTTTTGCAACAAAATTGGCCTGACTATAACTAATGCCAAAATGATCCAGGGATAACTAAATCTGGAAAATTAAATGCATATAATTAGCCATAAACACATGGAACCCAAATATCAAATCCTTTAATCAAAAGGAAGCATCAAGTCCAAACTCCCAAGCCCTTAAATCCCAAGGACATCACAAGCAAAATAAAATGTCAAAGCTGTTGGGACACACTAAAAACAGAAATTAACCAGCAAAAAGAACTTTCAGTTAATTGAAATGAAGCATTCATGTAAACACCCAGAAAAGCAAGGATATGAACACAACATCGCAGAAATGCAAAACTATGCTACCATAAGTACCTTAGCGAGTCTGGTTAAACCATCCTTAACTTTGGGAATGATCAAAATGTGTACAGGAGCTTGTGGATTGATAACCCGAAAAGCAAGAACCTGGTTCAATCCATTCAAAGTCAGATTAAACAACATAGACCTTCAGAGCCTCAATACCCCCCCCCCCAAAAAAAAAAAGTAACGTAGTCCTAACACTCATTACTAACCCCAGAAAATGAACTCCTAAAAATTTATAGTAGAAGACAAACAAGTGTCAAGGTCACAGAATCAGAAATATCATCGGTAATATTAAATGCTTACAATGAACTGGTCCTCAAAGTATTAGAGGGTCAGCCAGAGCAATACCTGAAGAGTACCATCTTCACCAAAAGGACCATGGATGACAGGAAACACAATATCAACTGAAGCAGCAAGGTGTTGCACAAAATCTGACAAGCAGCGAAAACCTTGAGCAAGGCTGAGAACAACAGTAAAAACAGACAATTCATTTTATGGAATCACCGCTAAATTCTCATGAAAGATGATAAATAAAACAAAAGTTAGAACTACACACCTTTCAAGCTTAAAATCAAAATCCGAAGGGGTGTTTGAATAGAGCTGCAAGTAGTAAGAGAGAAACAGATTAGCTCAATATGTTTGTTGCTGTTTGCATGCTACAAAGACAATATATATCTTTCTGCCAAAATTATCAAATGCATTCCTAAATTCCCAACCCCAACTTCAGAAGTGAACATATTCTACAGAAAACAATATGATTTCCTTTCATTTCTTTGTAACTCAAATAAAAATCATAAAAGCTCTTGACAGTAAAACGCTCATTCCATAAACCAAATTAACATTAAAATAGTTCATCCAAACAACTTATTTTTTTTTCTTACCAAATGATCCGTTTACACAGAGCAATTACAACTTACAATCACCGAAGCATGGCAACAGTTTAAAGGTTTTTCGACTTTCCATGGAACCGAATTATCAAATGTACTCAACATAATTCCGTACTTCCTTTGTGTATTCGTACAATAGTTGTATAAAAATAGATAAGCAAGCTAAGCAGTTGACCTGAGCAGAAGATATGGCATAAGCATTGAGCTCACTATCAATGTAGTAGCAGCTAACACACAAATCATCTCCCTGATAACATCATCAACAAAACTTATCACAACACTTATACGATTGTACCACAAATCCACAATGTGCATTCCGTAATCCGGTCATCATTTCGATTTATATCATTGCTCTTTATGTCTCTCTAAACACCGAAAAATAAGTATCTTCAATTGAAATGACTATTAGTAATCACTAGGCGAAAATACGCATTCCCTACCGGTTCAAACCCCCCGAAAAATCAACAATGTCTTGTTAGCAAAATACAGGACATGGATGTATGCCTAATCAAGGCTCAACTAAACCTATTCTTCCAGTGTTAATTACACCTCTAACCTATATTATATACACTGCAATCTTAGATTTGTAAACAAACTTTTATGCACACTCTACCATTTCTAGCTTCTTTCCATTATCCCCTTTCACATACTACAGCCCATAGGGGCTATAGCCTATAGGACCCCAAGGCTTTCGACCACATGAATATATACAACTATCAAAGGAATGGATTATGGATATAAACGCCCCCAAACCTCTCAAGAATCTTCAAGCTCGAGTTCGCGACTAGGTAGCCATTGTAATGTCTTAACAAATCCCACAATAATATATACACGACACAAGCATTTACATAATAAACACAACAACGCAAATATGCAATAACACAGAAATCAAACCAAAACCATATAAACAAACACTAACCAGTCCCAGCAGCAGTAACAGCCTGCCTATACTTCTTATCCTGAACATCACCCGCTGCAAAAACACCCTTCACACTCGTCTTCGTCGTACCCGGTGTCGTAACCACATACCCATCCGCATCCAACTCCACCTCATTCCCCAAAAACCTAGTAGCAGGTTCATGCCCAATAGCAAAAAACAACCCAGAAACCTGCACATCCTTAACCTCCCCACTAACAACATCCTTCACCTTCAACCCTCCCAAAACCCTATTCTCCTGTCTATCTCTTGACTGCGTTTCAGCCCAACAACCACTCCCCAACCCAGCCCCGACAGCCACCCCCTCCCCCTGCACCACCACCAAAACCACCCTCCTTCCAGAGCCACATAAGCGCAATAGACCCCCCGCCTCAGCCCTACCAACGAAACCGCCCAAAACTTGAATTCCTTAACCCGAAACCACCCTAACTCCCATCCCTTTCCCCACCAGAAACCCCCACCCCTTTCCCTGACCCGATACCGCCGTAGACTCGAAACTCTACCCCTGAAACCATTCCCCCACCCCCAGAATTTGTGAATGTGTTTTTCCTATAAAATAAAATAAATAAACTAAAATTCACAGATTAGCAACCAAAATTGACTCAATTATCAAACTAGACTCCAAAAATTACATTAAATTCTTCGACTTTGTATAACCAATAGTTCAATTTTCCAACTTCGAATAACCCTAAATTGAGTATATACTAACAATTAAATACACGATTAACACTAGATTGTCAAAATTAATATTAGATGATTATAGAAAAAGAAGCATCTAACCTTAGAGACTGCTTCAATGGAGGAGAGAAAGCTCAGAAGCCCCTTCAAGGGAGAATTTTGAGTACGCTTAAATGGAGGAGAGAGAGAGGAAAGAGTACAGTGAGAAACGCTTAAATGGACGAGGGAGAGAGGAAGGAGTACGACGAGAAAGATATGAAGGAGTACAGAGAGAGGAAGGAGTGCAGAGAGGTTCATTTTAATGGAGGAGAGGGAGAGGAGAGAGAGGTAGCGTAGACGAGAGAGGAGGAAATATCGAGGAATTGAAGGAGAAAGAAAGAAGAATATAAGCGGTTTTTTTTTTTTTATTTCATAACACTTTTCCCACCGGTTTGGTTAGAACCGGTTGCAAATCCATTTTCCCTCTTTTTATTTTTTTTTTATTATTTTTTTTTTATAAAACAAAACTTTTCCTAAAAACCGGTGGCAAAAGGGGGGTGCCTTTTTCAATTTTTCTACTAGTGCAACGGTTGTAATATGTCCTCACATATATCAGGTTCTCACATAAGGGATGTGTTCTAACATGATCCCATTTCTCTATACATATATATATATATATATATATATATATATACATACATATATATATATATATATATATATATATATATACACATATGTATGTATGTATATGTATGTATGTATATATATGTATATATATATATATATGTATATTTATATATATGTATATATATATACATATATATAAATATACATACATATATATATATATATACAATATATATATATACATACATATATATATATAATTCGTTCTGTTAATATGATTTATTATTTACACATATGATATCATGTGGCTTATATTTATGTAATACTACACTTTTTGTAGTTTTGTTTGTAAATAGATATATATGAAGTATATGTTATTATTGACTTGAAATTATTTTTATTGAACTTAAATTACTTTCACTAAACTGAAAATATTTTTACTAAACTAAAATTATTTTAACTGATTAAAACTTATTTTTACTAATTCTCTAATTTTTTTTAAATAACTTAAATAACGCTGCATTTTGTATGCGGCTAGCCACACCATCTGGCCGAACAAAATAATCTCTATAAAATTGACCGAGTAATCCCTATGATACTAACTGAGTAACCTCTCTAACATTGACTAAATAACCCCTATCTATAACACTGATTGAGTAACCACTATAACACTGGCCAAGTAACCCCTATAGCACTAACGAAGTAACTCTTGTAATATAATAGTTGGTGACACGGTTTGGCCAGCTACATATACAAGTTTATGATTAAATATACGTATAAAAGTTTGTGATACTAACTGAGTAAAATTTTAAGATAATATTTTTTATTTGAATGTTAAATACGGTCAAATAATTCGTTTCGATAATGTAGGATATTTAGACATACGATATCATATGGAGTGTACTTTGTATAGTTTTGTTTGTAAATAGATATATATGTTATTATTGAGTTGAATTTATTTTTATTGAACTTAAATTATTTTCACTTAAGTGAAATTATTTTTACCACACTAAAATTATTTTTACTGACTAAAACTTGTTTTTACTGATTAAACTAAAATTATTATTAACAATGCATTTTGACCGTATTTAACATTTATATATAACTGGATCTTATTTAAATTTTTAAAACGAATTTGATGATGGAAATATAATTGCGTTATAAAATATTTATATATGAAATATTAGAATTCTATCGATAATAAAACTCTATACAACAATTTTATCTAAGAAAATCTATTCAAAAATCGCTTACATAACATCATATGTGTCACAAAAATACCTATTTATCTCCTACGTGCTGCGACACTTGGCGAAAAACTGGAATGCCAAAGATCGCTGCCTCGTGGCGTGGTTGCGAGATCGGCTTTATATATATATATATATATATATATATATATATATATATATATATATATATACACACACACACATATACATATGTATATGTATATGTATAATTTTTTTAATTGAATGTGCATATATTTTTCGATTTATATTCGATATGCATAAAATTTAAACAAAATGTGCATAATTTTACTTCTAAATATGCATATTGTTTACTCCTCTTATTCATTCACCTAAGAATAGGTATCTGGGCAGAGAGGGCACGGCATGACCAATTCAGTAGACATTCTAAGTTATCCTTTACATTTAATTTAGTTGCTTAGTTTCTTATTCATTCACCTAAAAACACCCTGCTTATCTTTCTCTCTCATCCTCTATTTCCATTACATAGTTGTGGAACAACATTCATTGGCGATCGTTACAGGGAGCTTCAAAATGAAAATCTATGTCTAAAATGGTGAACATGATCAGATTGCTTCTACTGGAGGGAAGAATTGAAGGAAAGGAGAAAAATAATCGTGAAACTTGTGGGAGGAAGAGAGAAAAGACGAATAGTAAAAATTGAGGACGACGGTCAATGGAAGAGTAACGTGAATTTGTGGGAACTAAGCTCTATATCAAGGATATATTTGATCCGCAGAGAGATTGTGAGAGAGATGAAGTAGAGTAGCGTGTTTTTTTGTTCTAATATCAGCCGCTAGATTGCTCATATAATTGGTTGAGATTCCTTCTCATCCTTCTCATTTTAATATACTTCTCATTGGATCACAACCCTATATATATAAATTCAATCAAATATAATGTGTTTTAAAATAATAGTTGTTGGTGGTTAGTGGATTACGCCATCGTTTCTCTTTAACTTATGCTATGTAACATATCTTAGGAAATCTGAAGTATTGCTTCACTTATTGGTAGCCAATTATTCATTCTACCTCACGAGAATCACGACCATGTTACTTATATTTCCCGTCCCCACACTCTCTTTGAAATTGACCTATACCAAATTCGAACCTAACAATCTAACATAGTTATATATATAGCACCTTATCCCAACCTCAACAAAATAATAAGAGTACTACATGCAATTTAGGGTGGGGTTCCTTATCCTAATCCTCCCACTTTAAAATTATCTTAGACTATTTTTGACAAGAATAAAAGGAATTTCATTAGGTTAACACCGTAAAATTAGGTTAATGGTGGAAATTTGGCCAAATGTTGTAAGATACAACATTTACCTTTTAATAGGTAGTTTCTTACAATACTTTTATATATATTAGGTTTTATTAGGTAGTTTCTGACAAAAATCCTAACACATATGAGAAAGTTAAAATTACTTAGCAGTGTAGTACGAGTATTAACAAAAAAAGCGAAATATCCCTGCCAAAAACAGGCATTTTATTGGAGCCGCCTACTTAGACATATGAGTAGATCATTTTAGTGGTTCAAAAAACCAAAAGCTTACTCATACTCCAATTAATGACCTATCTTTACAAAAGAGTAAAATCCCGAGTAAACATGCTACGTCTATTCCGTGTAAATGGCTTCTCTTTTTTGACATCTTCCAAAATATTAGTAACACCACAAGCAAAAAACAACCTATTTGTTCCCATATACAACCCAAATCGCTTCTGGAGAAGCAGTAACATTTTGAGAAACAGTGACAATTTCGGGGCATCAATAAATTGTGCTTTGAATCGTTCATCAAAGGATGTTAATGAGAATTCTACGGCAAGGCTCCAACAAGGAGAGTTTATCATTCCTAAACACGTCGCCATAACCTTGGATGGGTGCAGGAGATGGCATAAAGCCCGTGGCCTAGACCTTGATTATAAGTCTTTTTTTCAGGCTAACTTGAGGTTTGTTGAGTATTGTCTTAAATGGAAAGTTGCCACTGCCACAAGTTACATCTATGGACTTAGAAATTTTAAGCTCCGATCTAAGGTACCCATCTCTAATATTATATTTTCTTTTCTTTTCTTTTTCAAGTTGCTCTCTAGAAGTATATATCGTAGCTATCATAAAAAAAAAAACCAAAAAAAATAAAAATAAATTAATTAAATAAAATACTATCTCTATTTCTTATTATTTGCAACAAAGTGATATTATTTGTGAAACATAAAATATTCCTTTACTATAAATAATACCAAACGGAGGTAGTAAAATGTTTGGTCCCACACTCGCAACTTAATTTGTTATTTATTTATAGCAAAATTTAAGAAAGGGCTTATAATTTAATACTTTGTAACAAAATTCTCTTTGTGTCTAGTTATACTACCAAAAATGCCTCATATCTCTTTATAATAACTCTTATGTAATTGCAAATAAAATAAATAAATGAAACCCACATATGTTAAAGTGACATACTTAGAATAGTTAGATATTATGCTCATAAAGAATAACTTATGTTTAATTAATGCGTGTTCCGTGCTGTAATACCCCCTCATGATTGCTTTAAAAAGATTTAATATATTACTCATACCAACAGGATGCACCTTCCTTTTAGGGAGCTTATATGCTAAGATACTCCACAGTTAAGTGTGCTTGGCTGGGAGTAGTCTTGGGATGGGTGACCTCTTTGGAAGTTTTCTTAAGATTTACAAAGAAACTTTCTAGAGCCCAACTGGAAGTAAAACCTCGACTCTCTAGGGATTTTCCAACACCAAAATAATCTTAGAATTACAATCTAAACCTCGACTCTCTAGGGATTTTCCAACACCAAAATAATCTTAGAATTACAATCTATTATACTAAAACCTTTCTCACAAGCTCCTATCCGAACTTGCTACTCGATAGAAACTTCATTATCCTATCCAACCTAAGTTCCAGACTTAAGTCTCCAGCATTAAGTCTCCAGCAACAGTCCCTGAACACTGCTCTCTCGGCTTCTCACCAGAAGCTCACTCTTATTATTTAACTTGATTACACCATGAATCGCTAACCCAAAACCAAATACAACACAATAAATCAAACTTCTAATATAAGATGGGAAAACTACACATGAAACTTGGAACTAATATGATAAAGTTCTAACTTTGGCAAACTTACTCCTAAGTGCTCTTTAGGTTTTCACACATACTACTCACACTTTTCCCAAAAAATGAAGTCTCTTATTATAGAGAACGTTCGTTCACTAAGTAGGGATTTTGGTAAAAAGATAAATACAAGATAAGCATTATATTAAAAACCGTTTACAAATCTTTTTAACAACCTGAGTATAAATGTCTCATTTCAGAAAATCATTTGCAAAACCGTAAAAAAGATAAAGTTTAGATAAAGATAATTAATTAGAAAAACAGATTTTATAAGATAAAATCATTTTATAAGATAAAATTACAAGTGAATCTTTTTCATAAACATAAAGGTATCCTTATAAAAACTTCTGGTTTTACTAGCTGGCCAAGCTTTATCATGTTTCTAATAAGTCTCATGCATATCAATCAATCATATATTTACATCAATCCTAATATAATAAACTTATCCTCAACCTTAGAATAAAGTCTTCGAGTTTATTTTCAAATTGATCTCTTCGAATTGAACTTTGTATTGTATTTTAGAATTTGAGTTCTTTGCAGAACAGGACTAAAATCCTGCTGTAACTTCTAGTTCAACATTATGCTAGAACTCATATCCCAAGCTCCTCTGGAACTTGCTGTCTTCAACGCGGTCCAAGCTAGTATGATCAGCTTGTTGTCCAGTTTTTGCTAGGAAGCTCATATAATGTTGTTAGGGATAACTGATCTAGGTCCTCTATGAACTCTTCTTTTATTCTAGTATGATTTCCTTTGCTCTCTTGTATTCCCTTAGCTTCAAGTTCTTCTTCAACTCTCTAAGCTTACTCCACCTGCAAGTCCTAAAAACATTAGAGAAACTTTATTAGTTAAAGTTGTTTCTTAATCATCTTCATCATCAAAACCTTCAAAGGTCAACGGTTTTCCTACTTATTTATAGCAGTTTGTCAACAAAACCAATGAATATGATAGTTTGATTGCTTGTGAATTATATGGCTTCACTAGTAGAAAACAAGAAATGAGCACCGGTTCAAAACCAGCCTTTCTCACCGGTTTTAAGCCGGTCTAGATTTGAGGGATGCGAATACCCACAAATATTCGCATCAGTTTAGAACCGGTGGCATTACTTGTTATTAGCACCGGTTAACCGGTGCTAATAATAGGTACCCACTTTTATTAAATAAAAAAAAAAAAAAAAAACTCACTACTTTGGCACCGGTTAACCAGTGCCTTTAATGCCAATTTTTTATTTTGCTTTTTTAACCTGAAATTGTCAGCAAATTGTTACATATATAAATAATATACTTAAAACTGATAATTTCAATGATAACCTGTAATTTTACACTTGAAAAAAAAAGAAAAAAAATATTGAATATATTCACTATAATAAGAGCAGCAACAACTTCCTACAATCACTAGCAGAGCAGCAGCAGCCCAGTAGCAGAACAACAGCATCACAATTGCTAAACAGCAGCAGCTCCGAAGCAGCAGCACAGAATAGAAATGCAACATCCATTGTAGGCCATAGAGCATCCTCAATGCAGCCTGAATTTTGTTATTTCAATGTAAAATTAGGAAGAAAATGAACTATTAAATGCAAAAAATCAGCAAAGTAAACATTAGGGAGGCTAATTAACTCATCAAATTGAAATTTTATACAGAAACATATCTTTATTCAGCCCAAAACCTATGAAATCATATAATTCCAAAATCACCCAAAAATGTAATTAATAAATCGAAAATAAACAATCAAACTCACAAAATTCAAGATCTATATGTAACTAAACACCTAAATTATCAAACAAAAAATATGTCGATCGATAGAAATGTAAGAAAAGAGGAGAGAGAAACAGGCAAACCGAGGAGGAGTGTCGGCATCCGGCCGCTTGGATAAGATCTAGCGCCGGTGAAATAAATTGCCACGAGGTACGAAGATGAAATTATAGATCCCCTCCTTTTGTGGCTGCCCTTCTTCAATCAATGGAGCTTTGATCATCATTAATAGTATAATCATTCGACCAAGACCGTCTATCACCATCAATCCTGGCCGCCATTAGATTAAGCAACCGTTGATTCTTATTACGGAGGCAACCACTCCTCACTGTTGCGGCGAGGAGAGAAAGTGAAAGAACAAGAGATGAAGGGTTGGCGGTGCAAGGGCCAGGGTGGAGGGGTCAACGACTCAGTGGTGGTCTGGTGGAGGAGTGGACGGTGAAGGCAAGAATAAGAGAGAGAGGGGGGTAGTTAAAGAGAGATCTTTGTGGGAAAGAGGAGGCTACAGAGAAAGTGGTTTGAGGAGAGAGAAAAGGGGGTAAATAAAGGACAAAAATAAAAATAAAAATAACATATAGGGCACCGATTAACCGGAGACTTTGTTTTACCAATATATTTTTGAGAATTAATTTAAACAAAAGGTAAAGGGGCGCTGGTTAACCGGTGCCATTTATTTTTTCTCACCGTTTTTCATAAACCGGTGCGTTTAACTCGATGCGCATTTATTATTTTCTACTAGTGCTTGATCGATTAAGTTTGCGCTAACGATTTTATGCATATATATATATATATATATATATATATATATATATATATATATATATTGAGATAAAAAAAAATGATTAATCAATAGTTGAGATGGTAATGCTTTTGATTCATATTTTAGTTGTCTTGAATTCAAACCTTATGTGAAGCATTTTTAACTTAATTTGTTGAAAGATTATGTGGCAAGTTTAATTTAGTGTAGGAGGGTGCCACATGATTTTATGAACGCTTTTAATATATAGTAGATTTAAGAACCAATCCTTGTGGGATGAAGAGCTATGGCGAAGATGGGTTGATTATATAATTAATATTGTAATTTTAAATATAAATTTTTTATTTATCTAAATCTATAAGAATAATGTGTCCCTCGTCCCTCCATTTAAAGTCAATCAATGAAGATCTTATTTCCATTCTATTGCTCCTTAGTTGAATAATTATGAAAATTAGAGGTGTCAAAATCTTACTTAACCGACCTTCTCAAAAGCGACTTGAAAAATATCTGATTCAAATTTCGATTTGCATGGACCAATATTTTAACATGACTCAAGTTTGAAATTAGTCTCGATCCGACCTGACCTCACCGAAACTGGCCTGAACACCAGAATTGACACCTTCAATTAAAGTTCTCTCTTTAATTTTACTCTCCTTATCTCACTATACGGGTCCATCTTATTTTTCATATATTCAAAAAGTCTTACAAAAGTGATATAATAGATTTATAATTAAGGATATGTTTATTATAACTTTTTTAATTTAACACTCCATATATCTCTTTAATGTAAAAAAGATCCACTAACATTTGTTTAATATGGAGTAATCAGTAATATTATATTATTGGTGTTTTTCCCTTGCATAAGACTAACTGATTTTTTATTATTAGGGTAACTTTTTTTTTTCTAGTAAAGGCATTAAAGAAGGATTAATTTTCTTTCATTGCAGGAAGCGGTAGATTTTTGTATGGGGCAATTTGAAACTTTTTTAGAGGAAGAAATGGAAAATCTTAAAAGGTAAATCTTAAAAGGTACTTTGATACTGTGTTATTTTCCCTCCATGTTGTATTATTAAAAGAACGAAAGAAATATAAATAATTATTATATTTTCTGTACAGTTGAATATACAGTGTAAAGCTTTCAAACGTAACAAATGAAAGAATTTTTATATTTTTTGGTGCTAATGCAAACGAGAAACGACAAGTGATGTATTAAAGATAAGAAAAAGTCTACTTTCATATGTTTATAGGCATATCGAGTTACCAATAGGTAGGCCTGGTTATTTGATAAAGTAACCCGATAGAATTAGGGTAGTAAGGGTTTTCAATTATAAATTTTATTATTTGGACATGGTCATTGTTGGACATAGTTAATACAAGACCAAAACAGTAGCCTTTATTAAACCAAAATAGATGTGACACAATAAAATTTCATGTATAATATTGTTGTATCCACTTGTGCTTGCTTTTCTATCTCTTCTTTCTTACTTATTTTTCTTTGCTTGTTTGATAATTCATCGCATACTGATCTATTATTGGATTCCAACACACTTTGACCCGTTTTACTACTTAACACTATCTCTTTATGACACAACCCGCACAATAACCAAGGGGGGTTTGGGCGCGCTACAAATAGCGTTTTTCCACTAGTGTACTCACTTGTACTGATCAGTTGACTCGTACAATAACTAAGTCTAGATACCAAGTATGAAATAGATGGTGTAGGTTATCATTTAATTATTTAAATTAAAACACTCGACTGTTGTGAAACAGGAAAGGAGTAAGAGTGTCAATAGTAGGAGAATGGTACTTGTTATCCGACTCATGTCAAGCCACAATAAAGAAAGTAGAGGAAGCAACAAAACAAAATACAAAACTTGATTTAATCTTAGCAGTATGCTACACTTCACAGAGCGACATAGTTCAAGCAACAAGATAAATTTGTCACAAAGTGAAGGAAGCATTACATTAGAAGATGTTAATGAAGATTTGATTGAACAACATCTTTCTGCTTGTGGGTCTCGACCCCTTCCCGACCTATACATACGAACGAGCGGCCTACTCCGCATTGGCATGTTGATGGGGTGGCAAGTTGGCGATGTTGAGCTATACTTTACCAACACCTGTGCACCTGACTTCGGCGAAGATGAGTTCCTTGACGCTTTGCGTTCCTATCAACAAAGGACTAATAGGTTGTTTGGCCGTTAAAATGAGAGCAATATATTACAGTTTCTTCTGGCCAATGTTGTTAAATTTCTAGGTTGTGGTGCATGCTTCTTGATTGTTCTTAAAATTGCGAGACACCTTATAGTATTTTTTATTAATCATGAAATAATAGAGCCCCAATGTCAAACTTTTTTTTTTTTAATAAAATAAAAAAAGCTTTCACTTTTAAGTAAAATTATGTGACGCCTCACTTTTTCATATCCTATTTCAGAATAATAAAGTGTTTGTTTGATTGACATGAAAATGTATTGAAGTTAGAACATGAAAATGGATAAGAATAAGCTGAGTTTTCTACCACTTTCGCCGAGCATGTTTGGTTAAAGGAGTTTCTCTCTATACCTCTTAGCTTTTTGATATGTTTTTATCGCCAAAGAGCAAATAAAAACTCTTAATCTCACATTAATGGAAAACGAAACTCAAATCTGAAGTCAATCACTTGAATTTGACATTCTAAAAAGAAAGTCAAAACTTTTACCATTTCTCAACAAACTTTGAGAATAAAAGACAAACTCTATTATTACAAACCAACATTACGTACTTTAATTTTTGCTCCAAAATAAGAGAAGGAAACAAAGGCCCAAATAAAGTGAAACTAGAATCTAGACCAATAACTCAACATAAGGACCCAAAGATCTTAAGAACTCCGTTTATGCGATACAACTCATACAAGGATAGATAAGCTCGTTCACGAGCTCTCGAGTTGAGCTTTGCTCATAAGGTCGTCTAAAGCCAAACCCAAAGTAGAGCCAAAAGCTTTACTGAGTCGATGTTTGACCGAGTTTTGATCAAGTTGAGCTTTAACAATCGTGAACAATTCAGACTCAAGTTGAGCCAATTCGAAATAGTGATCTCTACCGAAGCATACGTCTAACTTGTATCCTTGTAAATTTTCACTGACCTTTGGGAAAAAACTGAATTGAAGTAGAAAGCAATAATTGGAAAATAGCAATACATAAGCTTTTTCAAATAACCTCAAAACTGAACTATGAAGCAAGAATATAATGGTACCTAAATAACATAAATTGAAAAAAGAAATAAAGAAAACATCAGCCACCCTTGGAAAGATCTAGCTTGAGTAAAACAAGATCACTTATTCGATCCGGTCTATAACTTGATTCCAAATCATGAGTTCATTTGATAGTATTCAAAAGAAAAACCAGCCATCTTAAGCTTCTCTAGCATTTGATCAAATTGTTTTACCATCGTAGTAGTTAAGTAATTGGTTTAATCTCCGACCTCACCTTTCCTAGAGAAAGCCTAGTTCTCAAATCTTGATATAACCTTACTACTCTTGTTGACCTCCATCTCTTTCAAACTTTTAAAGCTACAAAGTTGTATTATCTCATCTATAACCTTTCCTTCCTCTTCCTCCTCCAAAAACGGACAACCCACAAACTCAGCCAACCTTCTCAAATGATCTCTTGGTTCCTTCTTCAGGCCTTTGTATTCCAAGAATAATACCTATTCTGGATTTTGTTTGCTCTCCTTCCAGTAGTTCAACACATGATTTTCATAAAGTTTCTAAAGGATTTCGACAAACACAAATAATCCGACATTTTGAAGTCTTGATCGAATCTGGCAGTGAGTAATACGACATGTGCGTAGCAAAGAGTTGAGGTGAGGGTATTTTAGACAAGTCTGGTTGTTTTTCATTGACTTTTTGGTAAACTGTTGTTTCTAAATGTGAGATGAGTTCATGCAGATTTTTGGTGTGAAATGGGTGTTGAGTAAGATCATCAGATAATTTCTTACGATTTACTATGGCAAAAATAAGGGATTTTAGCCATGTTGTACCGGTTTTAGGTTGGCTCGCTAAGATAATATCACTATCATGAGCTTGAAAGTGGGTTTTGGATGCAATTATTCCCTCAAAAATATAACTTAAGCACCATAACCCTTGATAGAGGTACATTGGCCAAACAAACCATGTTTCTTTTGGGAGGGATAGTTGTAGCTCTTTGATTTCGTCTTCCGAATTTTCTTGAGTTTTGGCTTTGGTGGGCTCTAAGGGTGCCATCTAAATAAATAAAATGGGTGTCTTAACAATAATGGAAAAAACTTACATTATATAACATTATAACCAACTCCTAAGGGCTAAGGCTAAATCGCACAAATAGTAAATTATTTATTTAGAGGTGGGCCGAAAATTATTGCTAATAATAACAATAACCTTTTGCAACATTCTAAAATTGAGCCCTTAATCCGTTGTTGTTAGATACTTTACTAAATGAACAGTTACATGATAACTAGTGATTAAATAATTGGGGTTTAATACACATCACGTACAAAACCCACAATATAACCATTTTTTTAATTTGTATATACTATCTCCGTGTCTTATTATTTACAACAAATTAATATTTTATGCATGTCTTAGAAATAATATAATACCCTAGTAGTTGTATTGAAACACCAACTTTTGGAACTTCTTGTTTTCAGGGAACTTAAATGATCGATTACTCCGCTCAAGACACTCATGCTCGGAACCCCTACACATTACCTAAGAATAAAAAATAAAAAATAAAAAAAATAAAAAATACTAACGGACCTTAACCACTGCAATATAAACGGAAGCAGCAAATGATTTTCTGTTCACATGATGAAGCTTAGAATCCACATAAAAAAATTTGCGGATCCTCAATCCCTCGTCAACATCTGAGTCAACTATTCAACCTTGATCCTCATCAAATACGTTGAAGTATTTAAAATCTTCAATCTCAATATGATGAAGTCTTTGGAGCAATTATTAATGATTACTAATCTACCAGTTGTGTACGTTTTATCGTTAAATATTTGAAAATTCTAAGTTATCCTTGCTACCATTATACTAATTTTTTATTGGGTGATTTTTTATTTATTTATTTATGTCAAAATTCTATGGTAGACATCCTTAAAATATCATGATATCAATATAAACAATTATACATCATGATATACATAGTAGTTTTTAAAATAATGGAATCACATTATTCCCGGTAATCATTATCCGACCAAAAACTTACACGACCCAAAGACCCGTATCAAACCCGAACCGTCAACTTGGCCTGAACCCAACCAAACCCTGATAGGATACATGCATGACCTGACAGTCTGACATGACCCAACTCGATTAACCCATATATATGAGTCCACCAACTTGACATGTGACTTGATTCGAGTTGACCTAATCTACATTGACATGAATAAATTCTACTCGAATACCCGAAGCCCAAAATGATCGACAGCTCTAGGCAGGAACAAGTCATACTAGGAATCTAGGACCATTAAGAGAAAATATGTAATGGTGGAATTGAGATTTGATATGGAATTGCAATTCCTTATGTAATACTCCATCCATTTACTTTAAGGTGTAATTTTTGACTTTTACACTGTTGATATTTACTTATATACTATAACATATGTTTCATATTTTTAATTTTTATATTTTTTGATAATAAACATTTAATTACATATATTAATGATTTTTCCCAATTTAAAAGTAAACTTAAAAGGTCGATAGGAGAGTGAGGGTTTTGTCCCTGGCGATTAGGGTTCCTCGTCAACTATCGTGCCTGGTCCCTTGCTTTAGGGATTAAAGCTTTCTTGCTGATGTTTGTGTCTTTGTTTGTCGAATCACGTTACTTGCCTTAGCTTTTCATCAATGGAGTCGGACCTTATTAAAGATTGGGAGAAATTTAAACTATCAGAAGAGGAGGATTCAATTGTTGGAGTTGTTGACGATTGGAATGAGGATGATTCTGCTACCCAAATTTCCCTATCTCTTGTAGGGAAATTGATGACAAATAAACCTTTCAACACCGAGGCCTTCAAATGAACCCTAATTTCGATTTGGAGGGCTAAAGATGATGTAGCAATTAGAATGGTGGACTCAAATTTGTTTTTGTTCCAGTTTTTCAGTGAATCTGCTAAGAACAAGGTAATTGAAGGTAGCGCGTGGTTTTTCGATGACAAACTATTGGTTCTTAAGAAGATTCAGGGGGATGAACAACCCTCTGAAATCATATTCTCTTCTTCTCCTTTCAGGATTTAGCTTGAGAATGTGCCTTTTAACTAGAGAAATAGCAAGGTTACAAAGGAAATCGGGAAAAGTATGGGGGATTTTCTTAAATATTGAATATGATGATTCAGACCCTCTTGGCTGGGGGGAAGTTATGAGAATTAAAGTGCAACTCATAATAGATAAGCCTCTTCATAGGAGGATTAAAATAGCTTCTGGAGCTTCTTCATCAAAGTGGTTGGGAATAAAATATGAGCGTTTGACTGAATTTTGTTATTATTGCGGCCGTATCGATCATTTCGAAATAGACTGTAAATTTGCTGATGAGGATGCTGAGGGGAAAGATGAAGTTGTTTTTCAGTACGGTCCTTACCTACGAGCTTCTCCATTAAAGAAACAAAAAACCTTTGCGTCAGAACGAGAAAATATGAAAAATTTGTTACTGAAGTTAAAAGAAAATAAGAGTGCGCGCAGACCCTCATACACACTGATCCAGGTGCTGTTAAGTTAGGCCCACTAGGGGTTGCTAGGAGGCTATTCTCTGTTTGCTATGCCTTTGGCTCTAACAAGGTTTCTGTAGGTAATCCAGAGAGCTTGATGGTGAGAACTTATCCAGGGCAGCAAGATGCATCAAGTCTACGAAGATGGGAATAAAACTTGTGCTGAACATCATAACCCGCAATTAATTGATCCCTCGGGTGTAAAACCTACTGTGAAAACGAAGGGGGGAAGTTAATGGTTGGAATGTTATTCCTTTACAAGAGTTGACTTGGAGATGTCTGAGGCCACCCTAAGTAACACTCGGAAGAAGAGGTCTGCTGACTTGCTTAACCAGACGGAAGAAGAAGAGTTGCCTAGTGGAAAAAGAACACGAATTACAGAAAATATGCAAGTTGATTGCTTGACTTTGAAAGTAGCGGGTTTTGGTGATAACCAAACCCGCGAACAGCCATGAATCCCTTATGTTGGAACTGCTGGGGATTTGGCAACCCCCGAGCAGTAAGAGCACTTGAAAAATGGTGCTCATAGCTAGGTCCGGATCTTGTCTTTTGTCGGAAACTAAAATAAATAATGTTGCTGCTGAGAATAAAAAAAGTATCATTGGTTATGATTATGCTTTTGGTGTAAGTAGTGCTAGTTTGTCTGGGGGATCTTTGTATCTATTGGGATAGTACGAAGATTTCTTTTGAACTCTCCTCATTTTCACAGAATCATATCTGTGGTGAAGTTAAGACAAGTGAAGACTTGAAGTGGATGTTCATAGGCA